TATCAACAAACCACCAGCTGGACTGACTAAAAAACAGAGTCAACCCAAATAAGTCCTCTACAAAGCACATTATAATTGAAAGCACATTAAAATTGAAATGTTAAAGACAAAGAATGAATTCTATAAACAGCCAAAGAAAAGCATCAAATCACACATAAGGGAGCCTCAGTTATACTAAAAGAAGGTTTCTCAGCATGATCATTACAGACCAGAAGAGAATGGGATGATACATTCAAAGTATTGAAAGAAAAAAATATTCTAACCAAGAATACTATGCCCAGCAAAGTTATCCTTCAGAAATGAAGGAAAAACAAAATCTTTCACAGATATGCAAAAACTAAGGGAATTCATCACCACTAGATCAGTCTTTAAAAAATGATTAAGGGAGTCTTATGTCTGGAAGATATTAGATAATAGACATCATTGTAAAAATATAAAACTACAAAACTCACTGATAAAGCCAACACACAAAGGAGAAAGAGAATCAAATCTGTCACTACAGAAAATCATCCACTGCAAAAGAAACAAAAAGAGAGGAAATAAGGAACAATGGAAATATACAGCAACAAGGAATCAATCAATGAAAAAACAGGAGTAAGTTTTCATCTATCAATAATAATCATGCATGTAAACAGACTAAATTCCCATTTAAAAGATATAGACTGAATGAATGAATAAAAACCTCAACTATATGCTACCTATAAGAAACTCATCTCACGTATAAGATACACATACAGTTAAAGTGAAGAATTGAAAAAAGCTATTCCATGCAAATGGAAACCAAAATGAGCAAGAGTATAAAACAGACTTTAAGTCAAAGGCTGTAAGAATAGACAAAGAAGAATATTATATGGTAATAAAAGTGTCAATTCAGCAAGACTATAATAATTGCAAATTTTTTTTTTTTTTTTTTGAGACAGAGTCTCATTATGTTGCCCTGGGTAGAGCACCATGGCATCATAGCTCACAACAACCTCAAACTCTTGGGCTTAAGTGATTCTCTTGCCTTAGTTTCCCAAGTAGCTGGGACTACAGGCATCCACCACAATGTCTGGCTATTTTGTTTTTGTTGCAGTTGTCATTGTTTTAGCTGGCTTGCGCCAGGTTCAAACCTACCAGCTCAGTGTATGTAGCCAGTGTCTTACCCACTGAGCTACAGGAGTCTCCAACAATTGCAAATATATGTGAACTTAAAACTAGCACACTCAGACATATAAAACAAATATTAGATCTAAAAGGAGAGATAGACCCCAATACAATAACCCTGTGGACTTCAATACCTCATTTTGAGTACTGGAAAGATCATCTAGCCAGAAAGACGACAACAACAAAAAATGGATTTAAACTTCACCATTGACCAAATGAATCTAATAGACATTTATAAAACATTTCACACAACAGTTATAGAATATGCATTATTTTCATCAGCAAGTGAAATATTCTCCAGGGTGGCCATACAGTGACACACAAAACAAGACTCAAAAATGTGTAAAAATCAAAAGCATACCAACTACCTTATATGACTACAATGGAATAAAAGTAGATATCTAAAATAAGAGGAACACTTGAAAACATACAAATACATAGAAATTAAACAACATGCCCCTGAAAGACCAATGGGTGAAGGATTAAAGTAAGAATAAAATTTTAAAAATTCCTGAAACCAAACCAGAAACACAACATACCAAACCAATGGGGCTCAGCAAAACATTATTTGGAGGTAAGTTTAAGGCAATAAATATCTACATTGTAAAACTAGAAAGATTTCAAATAAACAATTTATTATTAACAGGGAACTATAATAAGAGAGAACTATAAAATGAAGAATAAACACAATCCAAAATTAGAGGGAAAGAAATAATAAATATCAAAGCATAAATAAACAAAATTGAGGGGAAAATGCAAACATTTGACAGAACAAAAAGTTGTTTTTTGAAAAAATTAAATCGACAAACCACTAGTGAGACATAAGAAAAAAAGAGAGAAGACTCAAATAAAAGTCAGAAACAAAAAATGGTTTGTCACAACAGGACAGAAATACAAAGAACATTAGCTACTACTATAAACAACAGTACACGAATAAATGTGAAAACCTTGAGGAAATGGAGAAATTCTTGGATGTATATAACTTACCAGGATTAAACCAAAAGGAAAGAGAAAATCTGAACAGACAAATAACAAGTAACAAGAGTCAATCAGTAATAAAATACCTCACAACAAAGAAAAGCCTAGGACTAAAGGCTTCACCACTGAATTCTACCAAACCTTTAAAGAATTATTACCAATTTATCTCAAGCTATTCCAAAATACCAAAGTTAAGGGAATCCTTCCTAATGCATTGTATGAGGCCAGCATAACCCTGGTACTAAAACCAAACAAGGACTAAACATAAAAAGTGAAATATAAGCCAATAACCCTGATGAACACAGATGCAAAACTCCTCAACAAAATACTACCAAACTGAATGCAAAAAATACATCAAAAAGTCAGTATACCATGATCAAGTGGAAGTTATCTCAGGAATACCAGGATGGTTCAAATCAATAAAAATGATGCAAATCAATAAAAATGACTCATCACATCAAAATAATGAAGGACAAAAATAATGTGATCATTTCAATAGCTGCAGAAAAAGCATTTGATGAAATTAAACATTCCTTCAAGATAAAACTTTCCATAAATTAGATATAGAAGAAGTATATCTCACCATGATAAAGTCCATATTAGACAACAAACCCACAGCTCTTCCTCTAAGAACTGCACAAAACAAGATTGCCCATCTGGCTAAAGCAATTAGGCAAGAGAAGTAAATAAAAAGCATTTGAATTGGAGGAAGGAAGTCAAATTGTCCCTGTTGCTGACAACATGATCTTATATAGAGAAGAACCTAAACTACCAAAAATCTCTCATAATTGATAAAAGAATTCATTAAACTTGCAGGATGCAAACTCAACACACAAAAATCAGTAGCATTTCTACACATGAACAACCAACTAGCTGAAGGAGAAATCAAGAAGATAATTCTGTTTCCAATAGCTGCAAAGAAAAAAAAAACCCTAGGAATAAATTTAACCAAGGAGGTAAAAGACTGCTGCAAGGAAAAATAGAAAACACTGATGAAAGAAACTGAAGAGAATAAGTAAGTGGAAAGGCAAGCTATGCTCACGGATCTGAAGAATTGACATGGCTAAAATGTCCTTACTGCCCAAAACAATCTACAGATTCAATGCAATACTTATCAAAATACCAATGAAATTCTTCACAGAAATAGAAAATATTAAAATTTTCACGGAACCACCAAAGAAAAAATCCCAAATAACTAATGCAATCTTGAGTGAAAAAATAAAGCACAAGGTACTACATTATCAGACTTCAAAAGATACTGCACCGTTACTATATAGTAACCAAAATAGATGATACTGGCATAAAAACAGACACCCAGACCAAGGGAACAGAATAGAGAACCCAGACATTAATCCATATATCTATAGCCAACTGATTTTTGATAAGGTACCAATAACAATCACTGGGAAAAGCATAGTCTCTTCAATAGATGGTAATGGGAAAATTAGATATCCAGAGGCAAAAGAATGAAATTAGACCTTCGCTACTTGACCTCCACAAAAATCAACCCAACATGGATCAAATACATAAATTTATGTCCTAAGATGATACAACTGCTAGAAGAAAACAGGAAAAATACTGCAGGACATAGGTCTGAGAAAAGATTTTATGAATAAAACCTCAAAAATTATAGGCAACTTAAGCAAAACATGAGATTATAGCAACAAAAAGTCTTCACAGCAAAGGCAACAATCAACAGAGTGAAAAAGACAACGTATAGAATGGGAGAAAACATTTCCAACTATTCATCTGACGGACTACATAAGGTACTGAAGCATCCCAATAGCAATAAACCAAAGAATTCAATTAAAAAATGGGCAAATGCTCTAAACAGATACTTCTTAAAAGAAGACATAGAAATGGCAAAAGATGTACCCCCCCAAATTGCTCAACCTCATTAATCACAAGGAAAAGCAAATCAAAATCACAATGAGGTATCATGTCACTGCAGTTAGGATAGCTATTATCAAAAAGACAAAAATTAATACATGTTCCAGAGGACTCACCCTTTGCTGGAATGTAAATTAGTACAGCCACTATCAAGAATAGTACGGAGCTTACTCAAAAAACTACAAATAACTACCACATAATCTGTCAATCCCACTTTCTGGTATTTATTTAAAAGAAAAGATATCTATATATCAAAGAGAATTTGCACCACCCTGGTTATTTCAGCACAATGCATGATAGCCAAGATACAAAATCAACCTAGACTTCTAAAAAAAGATGAATGGATAAAGAAAATGTGCTATATATACACAATGAAACACTATTCAGCCAAAAATAATAAAATCCTGTCCTTTGTGCTAAAATGGATGGAAATAGAGGGCATCATGTTAAGTAACATAAGCCAGGATCAGAAAACTAAACATCGTATGTCCTTACTTCCATGGGGAAGGTAAGAAAAGTTGATCTCACAGAACTAAAAAGTGGGACAGAGGACACCAGAGGCTGGGAGGAGATGGAGGATACACTAAAGGACA